CTTTCCTGGATATGAAACTTTCCAACGAATTACTTTAACTGATTTTCAGTAAATACCTTACTTTCCAACTAATAACATCCCCCCCCCACCACCCTAGTTGGCTAATTAACGTCCCGAAAATTACAATAGAGTATCCCAATTATACGGGTCTATTCATTATACCTGATATGTTATTAGACATTTTTCCTTCTACCAATCAGATTGAAGTTAGATAATTATGTGGAACGTCAAATTTACGTAACACTATTCTGTATTTTTTTTTCTTCTTCTTTTAAGATCCCGGTGTAATCAATGAAACTTTTCGTAACTAACGATATTACATATATGGTGTATTCCATGGCAAAGAATCCGTATGAAAAAGCTACAGTCCCATATTGGGGTCGTGGTATACGATGATACGTACATACCAGTCAATTTATATGGAATGATATTCGTATCATACCATTTGCCCTAACGAATGGGTTAATTAAATACTGAATGACGTAATATTCATTTAGTTCATTTCGTTTAATAAAACATTTCTTATTGTCCGATAAATTCGAAATTAAAATATAAACGTATATATGCGAGTGTGTATATGTATATATATAACCATGTATATATATATATGATCGTAACCTCGACTGTATTCTGGCAGAGAAGAAGATACCACTGTCATCTGTCAACGACGTGGCACGTCTACGGATTACGTAAAATTCGTGTCACATGAGCTCGTTCGAACACACCTTTTTGAAGGATGGCGTTTTAGAAAACAACCCACACTAAGATCATATCATTGTGTGGGAATAATTGAGCGCTCGGAATAACCGTAGTAAAACCCTGTCCCGCATAAAATAGGGATGTAAATTCATCGTAGTATTGTCAAACGTATATGATGATCGAGATCATCGACTATTGTAAAACACAATTAAACGTTTTAACAGGTGCATATAATACGTGTGTTTGCTAACACCAATGTTTTATTACACATACGGCTTTGCCAAATAATAATACAAATAAATAATAGTTGCTATAATTTTTCTTTTTTTTCTTTTTTTTTTTCAATACATCGTAAAAGAGAAAATAAAGTATTACATTTGTTTTTTTACTGCATATAATAATATCACGACCATTACGGTGGTAAACTTATACGTCTTTAAAATTTATTATAGTTTCATACTTATATGTAACATCGTCGTATAATACAACAGGTGTACAGAAAATACGATGATAATCGAAGATAAATTTGAGTTTATAAAATAGGATTTAGGATGATATCGTCAAGTAATATTTATATAAATCAGATCAATTTTTAATTTCTTCAAAATAAGGGAAAAAGAATAAAAGACCAAAGTATTAAAAATAAATAGGTCAGTTGATTGAAAGTTTTGTGAACTTAATATAGAAATCATTTCTTTCGATCAAATCAACCTTTTATATTTTCAAGATAAAAATACTAATTATTCTTTTTTTTTTCCTTCTTTTTTTCTCTTTATCGAGACTCAGAAAACTTTTTAATCCATCCTTTTTCGTAGGAATTAAAATACGACTTGGGACATAATCGAAAAATATTTACGAATAATATCAATTTTTACGAAGTGAAATAGAGTAAAAATAATGTTTTATCCTTGGGAAATGGGTGCAAATGAGAAAGAAAGAAATAAGGATATAAGGATATAAAAAGAAAAGGAAAAAAGTGGAATAAGACGAAGTTACTACTACGAGGTAAAATTTTTCCTTCCTTGAGGAAATGTTACTTGCACCGTGCTGCTGCTGCTGCTGCTGCAACCAACTTGGTTGCGCACCTGTTAGCTCGTAATACTTCTCTCTCTCTCTCTTTCACTCTTTCTCTCTTTTTTTTCTATCTCTTTCTATCTTTCTATATATTTGACTTCGCATTTGTAAGCATTAGCAACGCGAATACTATTAGTATATATATATATATATATAGTTCTTATAGAACGATATACATTTTTTCATCTGTGTTTCGATAACTCGAACTTTACGCTAAATCTTCATTTTGGAAGAAAAGCAAACTACGCTAAGATTTATGGAAGATACCAAACTGGAGAATTATCAAATCAGTTCTACGATCCACAATCTTTTTCTATTTCTATTTTTATTTCTCTAATTTTAACTAAAAGAAATCTTTTCAGTATGAACCTTTTTTCTTTTTTAGAATTTTAATTCAACGATTTAAATTTTAATTCATCTACCTGACACATAATATCGTAGATATATTTCTTTTTTTATACTTTCATTTATTCAAAGCTGATTAATATTATTTCGCACAGGTATTAATAAATAATTAGTCGATCTCTTTTAAATAGACGATTCGTATTTATAAATAGTTGCAATAGTGTTACGTCAGATTTGTATATTATATCGATACCGATACGCACTATACTGATATTTTATTATAAATTATATTGCGACCAATATAATATATTAAAAAAGAAAAGAAAAAAAAAAAGAAAAAATATAAACGAGTCAATAAATACTAGTAATTTATTCTTTTAAAACCTTTTTTTTTTTCTAAAAGTGTTCCTCGGTTGAGTAACTGAAATTTTTAATTCCTTCCTACTCCGATGTTATGAATTTACATAAAACGAATATTTTCTCTTTTATTTTGTTATTCTTTCCTTTTTTTTTGTTCTCGCGCGTCGAGAGAAAAATATTTCTACGAACAATTTTTATTTTACCAATCTACCCGAGCTAACGAATTTACATTTAACATTCAGGGATAAATTTTGTTCCTTTTTATGCTTCTCTCCTTTTTTTTTTTTTTTTTTTTTTTTTTTAAGAAAAGAAAGGGACAGATTGAGAGAGAGAGAGAGAGAGAGAGAGAGAGAGAGAATTCAGTTCAATTCTTTTCTTTTCTTTTTCGTTTTTCTTTAGCTAACACCAGAAGCGACACACACGTTCGGTCGAGAAATTTTCTATCCTTAACACGGCAACGAAGGAATTACGGTAATGCGAGAGAAGACTGAAAGAGAGGAGGAAGGTGTACCTGCTCGCAACTGGAGCTTTCCTCCTCTCTCTTTTTAGCGATAGGAAAAGCTACGGGGGGAAAAGAAAAAAAAAAAAAAGAAAAAAGAAAACAGCTAACGCTCGCGAACGTGGTTGGTTGGGCCAGCACTCGAATATGGTAGCGGTACGGCAAAGTGGTCGTCAAATTATAGCCATGCACTCTGGGAACGTTTACGATGTCGTTGGAAGTATATCCTCCTTTAGTATATACTATATATACACACACATATATATTTATGTATAAATTTATAGAAAACGATGGACTCCACAGCACCCTATCAATAGATATATATATGTATGTATGTATGTATGTATCAATTTATTTATACCCTAGTTCCTGAAAAACCACATTTCATTTCTAATCTCTCAGATAAATTTTTGTTTAACTTCAAATTTATTCCTAATTTTGTACGTTCAATTTTTAATCAATGTTCATCGTTTTATCAGATCAGAATAATATCCAAATATTTTTCCATCCCTAATCTGTAAATTATACATTTTTAATTCGACCTCGCAATGTTATTTTATACACGTTATGTTTTTAACTTTAAATTTATTTCTTTGCTTTTTTTCCTTTTTTTAAATGATTCCTAATCGAAACTCATTAGATGTATATAATAGGAATACTTAAAGTAGAAAAATAAATACGATAAATTATTAGTAAAAATGAATTGACAATTTAAAATTGTCAATTTCTAACAAGATATTTAATAGTTCCATTAAGAGACAGTCGTACTAGTCGGCTAATATATTTCAAAGCTTGGCCAGTATCCTAATTTCACGTCTTGGCAAAATTTATAAGTAAGGAAACATTGATCGCGCGGGGCAATGCATTTGATAAATCGAACTGTGCAAACAATGAGACTTCGATATACTTCGATATACCTTTTGATAATGCATTGAAAATAGATAAGATGGAATTGGAGGACAAGAGTGTATCATAGTTTCTAAAGATACTTTTAACTATGTATTACACTATGATAAGTTTCATAGTCAACTTTCTAGTTAACATCTTCCTTTACATCCTATTAACCACAACTAAAGTACCAACTCGTAAAAAACATTCTTATGGGTTCAACTTTTCCTCTAATTTTACGAGTAATCTCACGAATTATTTCGAATAAATTAATTTTCCTATATCTCCTGTATGTGTATATGTGTATGTGTGCGGTACTTTATTATTGTTTTAACAATTTTACTAGCCACTTATACTATATAACAATTTATCCGTAGTTACTTATGTATATTTCGAAACTGATTATTTATCTGTATAATTCAACAAAAAAAAAAAAGTCATAAACTTAACTAGAAATCGTAAGATTAAGCAGATAAGGCCGTTCTTGAAAGGCCATGTGGAACTAGAGAACAGACAGACATACAGACAGACGTTTCAATGGAAAAGTTATCGTTCTAATCAAACGTAAGAGTATCGATCGTTTCGTTTGATCCAATTACCGTTCTCTCGTTACATATGTTTATAGGTTTCTAATATATTACATCGACACATATATTTATTCAATGTGTATAAATTACACATACACATATAAATAAATATATAAAACACGTGACATATATTTAGATCATCAAATGCATCGGGAGTATCTATTTCTAACGAAACAAATAATCTTTAATAGAGAAGATGCAACCAAAGACGCGCTTCTGGCAAGTGAACGCGACGCTGCAGGGATCATAAAACAGTTAAAACATAAATAAACAAAATGGCCTACGAGTAGGTTAACTTTATACTGTCCAATAGCACGTAAGTTAGTCGTATAATATTTCACAAAGTAAGTAAGTAAGAGAAAAAGAAAAAGAAAACACGCACAAAGGGGTAGCAAATTCGAGAAACATTAATCTTATTATCGGATTGACTAAGTAGAAAAAAAAAAAAAAGAATGGTAGAGATAAGTAGAACGAAATGGATGAAATGTTTGATAGGAAAGAAAAAGGGGGGAGTGAGAGGGGGGGGAAGAGATAGAGAGAAGCCGTACCTTTCGTGGTTCCGGAGCATAAATTCCGGGTAAGGGTGCCAATAGATGCAATCCGGGATTGGGTAGACCGGATGCCGGATGTCCTGGTGGTATTGGTAGAGGCACCAGCTTCAGGCCCCAAGGTAAATACCACGGCGCCGTATGGTGCATTCTGCTTCTTCAGAAGACTTTCGATGATTGTGTCAAATTGTGTTGACGTTATTTGCCAGGATGGGATCTTTGGATCCACCAAACGTGGACGTAGATTATCGTATCCCGTGCGATCCTTAAATCGCGAGAAATAGTTCTCGACAGGTCGCAAATAATAACGATGATAACGTTGATAATGATTATTATTATTATTATGATGATAAGATAACAATGTCGATGACAATAACGATGAAGAAAAAAAAAATTAAGAAGAAGAAAAAACACTAGGATAATCTAAGTGTATAAATATATATATATATGTGGATATGATATGTGTATATATATGGTGATACGTGTATATGTATATATTAATAAAAGAAAAAAAAAAAGAATGAAGTAGTAGTTGGATGAACAGAGGAGAAGGATAAAGAAGGAAAAGGATGATCACCTTGGCATTTTCCGTCGACGATATAGAAATGTAACTTTTTCTATATATATATGTATGTGTGTGTCTATGTGTGTTTGTGTGTGTTTGATGATCTCTTATCTTATTACTTTGATCTCCTTGATCATAACTTTGAACTGGGACATGGGAGGAACGTCACAGAACGCGTAACACGATAATATTCGAAATATCGTACTTGATCCTCCACCTCATCCTGCGATTTAACAAGGCTAACACGACGAGATCTAACTTATTATTATTATTTCTTTGTTGTTTATGTTAATATGTTATTACGTGTTATCAATAATCGTAACTCTCGTTAATAATTAATGTCTCTCTTTGATAAGAGGATGCGTGCGGCGGGGGAGTTCGAGGGGAGATGGGTGGGGGAATGAGGGTGGAGGAGAAAAAAGGAAACTCGTCGGAAAAAAACCCTCTTACAAAAAGAAAAAAAAAAGAAAACACAGAACGGTGACGCGGTTTTACGGACTGGCACGACGGACTCCCCGCGAAAGCGCGGCGACGACTGATCGACGATCGAGCGTCGTCTACGTTCGAGCACATGGCCGTGCGCGCGAGCGCGAACTCCGAACCACCCCCCACCACCCACTCCTACCACAGCAACCCACCCCCCTTCATCATCCTACACCACTGAGATTATCTATCTGTCTCTCTTTCTGTATCATTACGAACACGCTAGACACGATGTCCCACATCCTAGTCGTCCCCGTACTACTATTAAATGCATTTTGCAGCATCCTTTACGTTCAATACTTATTTTAATTTTTAACAGATAATATTAAACACATTCCGACGCACCCCCACTGCCACCATCACCACCATCAACACAGAGTTTTTTATTTTTTTTTTTTTTTTTTAATTTACTTACTTCAAATTTATTCTCATAATAATTAGTTATTTGTTATTTATTTATAATAGATCATCCGGGATGAATTTTCATTTCATTTAATTATAATCTATTTTTCGCAATTTATATTGTAGATAATATTATATTAT